CAAGTGGTAGGGTTTTAAAGGATTAACTCCAATTTTCAAAGAAGTTCTACTGTGGGTCAAATGCTATGAAACCTTATCTCATGCTGTAGAGAAATCTTTTGTGAAAGGAAGAGTTAATCAGTGTGGCAAATGTCATTGTTGTCTTTTCTTTTTTTTTTTGTATTACACTTTAAGTTTTAGGGTACATGTGCACAACATGCAGGTTTGTTACACAGGTACACATGTGCCATGTTGGTTTGCTGCACCCACCAACTTGTCATTTACATTAGGTATTTCTCCTAATGCTGCCCTTCCCCCAGCCCCCCACCCCATGAGAGGCCCCAGTGTGTGATGTTCCTCGCCCTGTGTCCATGTGTTCTCATTGTTCAATTCCCACCTATGAGTGAGAACATGGGGTGCTTGGTTTTCTGTCCATGTGATGGTTTGCTGAGAATGATGTTTCCAGCTTCATCCATGTCCCTGCAAAGGACATGAATTCATCCTTTTTTATAGCTGCATAGTATTCTATGTTGTGTATGTGCCACATTTTCTTAATCATTCTATCATTGATGGACATTTGGGTTGGTTCCAAGTCTTTGCTATTGTGAATAGTGCTGCAATAAACATACCTGTGCATGTGTCTTTATAGTAGCATGATTTATAATCTTTTGGGTATATACCCAGTAATGGGATCACTGGGTCAAATGGTGTTTCTATTTCTAGATCCTTGAGGAATCACCACACTGTCTTCCACAATGTTTGAACTAATTTATACTCCCACCACTGTTGTCTTATTTTAAGAAATTACCACAGCCACCCCAACCCTCAACAACCACCACCCTGATCAGTCAGCAGTCATTAACATCAGGACAAGATCCCCCACCAGCAAAAAGATTACAACTCAGATGATCACTGGCATTTTTTGGTTAAAGTATGTAGATTGTTTTTTAGATGTAATTCCATTGTACACTTAATAGGCTGTAGCATATTGTAAACTAAACTGGTTTTTTTGAGATGGGGTCTCACTCTGCTACCCAGCCCTGGAGTGTGGTGGCATGATCTTGGCTCACAGCAACCTTTGCCTCCTAGGCTCATGCCATCCTCCTACCTTAGCCTCCTGAGTAGCGAGGACCACAGGTGCACACCACCATGCCCAGCTAATTTTTGTATTTTTTATAGAGACGGGGTTTTGTTATATTGCTCAGTCTGGTCTTGAATTCCTGGGCTCCAGCAATCTGCTCACCTTGGCCTTCCAAAGTTCTGGGAATACAGGAGTGAGCCACCATGCCCGGCAGTGTAAATATGAACTTTTATATGCACTGGGAAACAAAAAAATTCATGTGATTGCTTTATTGCAATATTCATCTTTTAAATTTTATTTATTATGGTGGTTTGGAATTAAGCCCACAATATTTCTGAGGTATGCCTATGCATTAGTTTTGCTTGTTTTTGAGTGTTATGTCAATGGAATCATACAGTATGTTCTCTTTTGTGCCTAGTTGCTTTCACTCAATGTTATGTCTTCACATAGTGTGACTAAGTTTTTTTCTTCTTGTTTAATTTTTATGTTTTAACTTATATAAAAGTTCAGTAATAGATGCATATAATTTATAAATAAGCCAGGGATGTGTGCATAAAAGTTTGCAGTTATTGGGTTAAAGTATGGCACCATTTGTGTGAATGTCGACTTTAAACCCCAGATAGACTCATTAGCTTTTTAAAGAGATAACTATTCACAACTACAGACTATGATGACCTCATCTAGATATTTGTATTTAATAAACATTTATTTATGAGAACCCACTATGCACAAGTCTTCGTAGGTACTGTGACAGTTACATAGGCAAAATAAAAAGATGTAGCTCAGTCTTTTAAGGAGTCTCACTAGTGGGAGAAAAAGTGCAGTAAACTTATGTGATCATTCCAGACAAAATTGAGAATCTACAAAAGAGACACAACTAAAATGATATAGAAGCCTGGATGAAGGATGACCAATCTTCCAGGAAGCTAGAAAAGGCCCCTTGAGACTTTTACTAGATAAACTTTGAACCCCTTTATACTTCCCATTTTCCAATGTTTAATCAGATTTCTCATTACAGAAATAGCATCTTTATTCTCACCGTGCATTGCATTATGTTTCAGGTTTATGGATACACAGTATATATTGCGCTCAGTCAAAAGGGGGCAGCATTCACCCTTTTTCTGAAAATCAGAGACCACTTTGGCCACATCTCTTTCTTTCTAGGAAAAGAATACTTTTACCAGACAGCGTTTCAGAACATAGATATAAATTTTAAGCCCCCTGTTTTAATTGTTTGTTTATAGAGATAGCAACTGATTTCCACCTTCATGTCACTGAGCCCAACATATTGCACAGGTATAAATGAAGTCAGGCTGTCTCTGTGCCTGGAGTTTCCCTTATTTCTGCCTTTGTCCCTTGATTGGGCGTGGCAGTCTTGCTCAGACTCAGATTGCTAAAGGGCGGTGGCTGAAATGAACAAAAGGAATCAGACCTTTACTCTTAGCCTGAGAAAAAGATTGCCAGGGGAAGCTTGGGGAGAAAGCGCAATGCTGAGTGGTTGCGTCCTTGTTTTGACTACCTAATGCTGTTTTTCTCTTCTGAATTTTTATACTTTTTAAACTTCCATTTATAAGCATAACAATTATGTGAAAGGTAAATAAGTTACATGCACTACAGGGATGTATGACTGTGCTCTATCTTGTGGCCATTCATCTCTTTATTAGCCAAGTAACCTTTACAGTTTAAGTACTACACAGTTGCTGCAGTCCTTTTCTTGCTGACGCAGTAGTAGAGGGAGTGGTGCTGAAAACTGAGAGAGGTTTAATGCTGAAGGTCTCAGACTGTGTATCTCTATGTCTATGACCTCTAACCACCAGACCAGCAGATAACTGATTTCATTTTGTTAGTGAAACACTGATTTTAATTGCTGACTTATACAGCTTCCATGTTATACTTGATTGGTTTTGAGAAAATCAATGTTGATGGCCAAAATTCCAAATTAATTATTTCTTTCTAGATTTAATCATACTGTATACAGCCCTAAATTGCCCTCTAAGCGATTTAAAAAAAAATTAAGGAGTAGAGCTTTACCAAATGTCTCTGAACGATAAAGGGAAGTTGGCCCACCCTGTAATTAGGTTTTGTAAATAGCAAGTCAAAGGTCAGAGCAAAGGTCATCTGATTTCTTCCTTTTGTGAAGAAAACAAGGGATTGTAGTCACTATGGCTGATTTCAGAATAGTAGTAAAGATGAAGTCATTGCTTTCTTTCTAAACAGAAACTGTAAAATGAAATAATTTGGAACAATCACAGAAATAATTGCATTAATATAAATAGCAAATAACAAGTGATAATTTGTGTAGTGTTTACAGATACTGTGACCCTTGGTTTTAGACCTTGTGCAGTGTTTTTCTCTGTCACGTACATGATGCTGTGAGGACAGCTCTCCAGGAGACCTCTGATGACATCATGTCACTGTCCTCTGAGGCCACAACACAGCTGCCATGCCACACACTGGCTCAAAACACACAGTGGGGCATAGGCAAAACATTCACAAAGTAAAGAAATGTCAACTTTCTACCTTTTAGCATTCATTTGCCTGAATTAACCAACATTGTGCAACATATAAAATCTAAAGCCCATGTGAGAGATAAGACAGAATTATTTACATTTCTGCTGAAATTAAGAATGATGAAGTAGAAACTTATTACTTTTAAAACCAAACAATGAATCTAAATATGTGTATATCAATCAAATGATGAGTTAGGACTTTGTCATGGACTGGAGAGGAAAATTGGATGGCCAACTATCCTGGGTTGCTAGGGACTGAGAAGTTCTCCAGGATGTGACACTTTCAATTTTAAAATTGTGACTATCTTAGGCAAACTGGAACAAATTGGTCACCCTAGCTGGAAGAGATCTTTTTGGCCATGTTGTCCAATTATCTTATCTTGCAGCTGAAGAAAATAAAGATTATGGAAATCATAAGATCCCAGCAGGATTGTTTTTCTCCCTAATTCTTGTCAATGTCTTTTCTTTTCCTAGTTTCTCAGGTCATGTATTAGACTTAGACCACAGGATCATGCAAATGGCCCTTATTAGGTGGGCCTAGGGGGTGAGCATGGGGTTAAGGGACTCCAAGAGTGGCTGTCCTTCTCAGATCTGAAGGTCACTTGGCTGACTGTGGGAATGCCTGACTGTCTTCCAGGAGAGCAGAGAATGCCTCTATCAATAGTTTGAACACTGTTATGCAACTTTCTGAGTGACACTGCAAAGTACCAAAGATAGAAGCCACACAGGGGGAAAATGGGCGTCTCAGTCTGCTCTGGCAGCTATAACAAAATACCATACACTGGGTGGCTTATAAATAACAGAAATTTATTCCTCACAGTTCTGAGGCTGAGAAGTTCAGATCAGGACATCTGCTGACTCAGGTGAGGGTCCCCATGCTGGTTCATGGATGGCACCTTCTACATGTCCTCAAATTGTGGAAGGAACTAGCTAGCACTCTGGGACCTCTTTTATAAGGGCACTAATCCCATTCATTGAGGGCTCTGCCATCATATCCTAATCACCTCCCAATGGCCCCACCTCCTAATATCATCAACTTAGGAGTTAGGTTTTAACTTATGAATTTCAGGGGGACACAAATGTGCAGATCATAGAAACTGGGTTCTGAGACTTGAGCATGTCAGGGATTCACAGCGTTTCAAATGTGTGGGCAGGTTGCTGACACCTGTTCTTCTGGGTCCTAAGGAAAACAGAAAACGTGATTAAATAATTCAGCCTGATTTTGGGGCTTTATTTGTAATGACACCTAGAAGGATTTGCCTTTCCAAATAAGGACCATGGAAAGTAATAAGTACTTAAATGAATGAAGAGGCTGAGTGAGAGGTATTTTATAGCTGCGTGTGTTGAGGTGGGCAGGGCACTGAAGGAAGAGTTAGATGGTGAAGTACTATATAGACTGCTTTCAGTGTTTTCCTCAAATTATTCCACAGAGATGGTTGCTTATACCAGAAAGAAAATGAGAACTACTAATAATACTTCATTTTTATTCATCAAAGAGAATAATTACAGAACTGAAGAAGAGAGAGCAAACACGGTAAAAAACATAGTACAAACAAGATAAAACATACTCAAAGCAGAATAGATGGAGGCAAGAGTCGTCAAAACTACTAAGAACCCAGGTATGTGGTTATTCTTCATTAAAAAATAGACCTATCTCTGTTATTCTTATTTTGTCTACTGAATGTATTATCCTATCTCAATCCACTGAATTCATCTTTAATTCTCAGCCTGAATGCTGTTCCCTAAGGAAAGTCTTCTCTAACCTCCTGATTCTATTTTAGGTCGCCCTATTAAATGTCTTTAAAACACTGTATACTTTATCATAATGTGATACAAAAATGAAACTTGGCATGAATTAAACTAAATTACACTTATAATAATTTAATGTCTGTATCCCTGCTAGACTATAAATTTATTTATTTTTTTGAGGCAGAGTCTCACTCTGTCGCCCAGGCTGGAGTGCAGTGGTGCGATCTCGGCTCACTGCAAGCTTCACCTCCCTGGTTCACGCCATTCTCCTGCCTCAGTCTCCTGAGTAGCTGGGACTACAGATGCCCGCCACCACGCCTGGCTAATTTTTGTATTTTTTAGTTGAGATGGGGTTTCACCGTGTTAGCCAGGATGGTCTACATCTCCTGACCTCGTGATCTGCCCGCCTTAGCCTCCCAAAGTGCTGATTTTACAGGCGTGAGCTACCATGCCCAGCCACTATAAATTTCTTACAGTCAGAGACCACGCCTTTTTTGGTCATTGTTGAAGCTCCTGGTACATAGTAAGCACTTGATAAGTGTTGTTTGTTGAACTAATGAACCAATCGTTTGAAATGAGTTCAAGTTTTCAGATTCTGTTGTATAGATCTGTGATATATGGCAAAATCAATAAAATGTATTATACCCCAAAACATTTCCACGTGTGTGTACGGTATTCTGTTAGGAGAACCAGTTCTATAAAAAGACTACTGAATCCAAATCTTGGCTCTTATACTATCTCGAAAAGTTACACCTGTAAGCCTCAGTTTTGCCATTTACAAAATGGTATTGTGTCAGCTTCAAAAGTTTCCTCTGAAATTTAGTGAAATAACGAGGATGGACATTAAGCATGATATCTGGAACATGATATATTTTCCACAATTATTAGGTTAATTTGAATAATTAAAAATTTAGAAATAGTCAAATGCCCCAAACTTCTCAAGATGGTGAAAAATGTATGTGACTAGAGAATAGAATGTAGTCTTAGTTGTTCTATTGAGTCATTGTGTGATGTTAGGCAAATTACAAGTATCTCTGGGAATTACTTTCTTTATTTACAAAATGAGATAGCTAAACTGTCCTCTTATGATCCATCGTGAGAAAAAGGGTGTGGTGGATGTCCTAAATTTATATAAAATTGAATGTTTATATGGTAATTTTTTCTAGCCATATCTTTTATTAGGTTCTTGAAAGGGATTGAATTGTAAGTCAGGTTACTGGGAAGCAGACTCTGAGATGGAAATTAATGTGCAGGAAGTATACATTACACAGAATAAAATACTCTTAGGGTTAACATCTATTGGAGAAGAGAAAGAAGAAACAGGATTGGGCAAAGAGAGAAGCTGGCTGTAAGCAATCAGCCAAACTTTCTATGTTGAATATTTTGCTAGATTGTTTTTAGGATAAACATGACTAACATGATAACTTTAATTATTTCAGCATGTTATAATTTAACAGAGAGTATGGTGGAAAACTATGTACTATCTTCTCAGTGTCCCTCCCCTGTGAATTGCTCCTTCCTTCATTCAAACGGTGCCATTTATAGGGTAGATGCTGTGTTCTTATAGACTTTACTATTGGCAAAAACCACAGTTACTTTTGCACCAACCTAATACCTTGTCACAATATTGCTCCAGGGTTGAGTAAAAACATAAATGGTCAGTTTGAATCAGCTTTTAAATTTCCCTGGGAAAGACAGTCAATCTGTTGATAGAAGCCAAAATGTGAAAGTCAGGATCTGGCATTGCTTATTATCTCTGTGAGTGAGGAGGCCTTGATGGAACTCAAAACCTACCTATGCACATTACAAACTGAAAAGGGAATTCAGTAACTAAGGAGTCATAGCAATTCCAAATGTATATATGCCTGATAAACTCTAAACAATAGAGTTTCAAATTACATGAAGCAAAATTGATAGAAATAGAAGCAGAAATATATAAATCCACAATCATAGCTGGAGAACTCAATACTCTCTCAATAATTGAGAGAACAAAGAGATATAAAATTAGTAAAGATATAAAAGACATGAACAACACTATCAACCAACTTAAATGAATTGACATTTATAGAATGCTTCACCCAACAATAGAAGAATATATATACTGTTTAAATACACATGGAACATTCATAAAGGTATATCATATTCTTGGCTATAAAAAATTTAAAGAGATTTAAAAGATTTGAAATCATACAGAGTATATTCTCTGACCATAATGGAATTAAGCAAAAAAAAAAAAAAAATCCATAACCGAAAGATATGTAGAAAATCACATATTTTGGAAGGTAAACAATACATCTCTAAATAATCCATAGGTTAAAGAGGAAGTCACAAGGGCAATTAGAGAGAAAAATATATGTGTAAGTAGATATACTTTTTGTTGTTGTTGTTGTTAAAGAAATGGCATCTCCTCAGGTTGTCCAGGCTGGTCTTGAACTGCTAGGCTCAAGTGACCCTCCCACTTCAGCCTACTGAGTAGCGGGGACTACAGGCATGTGACACTGTGCTCAGCTTAAGAAATATTTTAAGTTGAATGAAAACAAGAACCCAATGTATCAAACGTGGGATGCATCTAATGAAGTACTACATGTGTAATTTATAGAATTAAACACTTACATTAGGAAAGAAGATATGAAATCCATGATGTAGATGTTAAGAATCTAGTAAAAGACGATTAAATTAAGTCTCAAAGTAAACAAAGAAAAGAAAAAAAATAAAGATAAAAGTAGAAATCGAAAAAATTAAAAACCAGAGAAAAATAGAGAAAATCAATGAAACCGAAAATAGATTATTTCTTAAGATCAATGAAATTGATAAACTCTTCCCAGAATGGGCACGGGGCAAAAAAAGAAAACACAAAATTACGAATATCAGAAATGAAAGAAGGAACATTACTATTAATTCTATAAACATTAAAAGGATAAGGGATTATTACAAACAACTCCATATATTCCCACGTATTTGATAATTTAGATGATATGGGTGAGCTCCTTGAACGACAGAAACTATTGAAGCTAACACAAAAATAAATAGATAACCTTAATAGTCCCGTACCTATTAGAGAAACATAATTTATAGTTAAAAACCTTTCTATTAAGCATTTAGAAAAGAAATAGCAAGTCTACACAAACTCTTCCAGAAAATAGAAGAGAGAACACTTAACTTATTTTAACTTGATAACAACACCAGACAAAAATATAACAAATAAATAAAATCAAAAGTCAATATCCCTCATGAACAGATGCTCAAATAATCAAGAAAATATTAGAAAATAGAATCCAACAATATGTAAAAAGGATAATATGTTATGACCAAGTGGGGTTTATCCTGGAAATGCAAAACTGTTGTAACATTTAAAAATCCATCAGTGTAATTCATCAAATCAGCAGACTAATGGAGAAAAATCATATAATTTTCACAATGGATTTTAAAAAAGCATTTTACAAAATTCAATTTTCATTCATGGCTTAAAACAATAGCAACATTAGCAAAAATTCTCAGTGAACTATGAATACAGTGAGACTTCATCAACCTGATAAAGGTCATTTATGAAAAGCATTACAGCTAATATCATACTTAATAATGAATAATGAATACTGTTTTCCCGGGATTGGGACAAAAACAATGATGTCCACTTGCATCACTCCCATTCAACATTATACAAGAGATCCTGATTAGTAGAGTAAGACAAAAACAATAAATTCTGGATGCATGGAAGAGAGTGAATAAATCTCAAATGTATTATGCTCAGTGAAAGACGTCAGACTCAACAGGATGCACACTGTATGACTGCATATGACATTCTGAAAAAGTTAAAACTATGGGGAAAGAAAGTAGATTAGTGGTTGCCAGGGCCTGGAGCTGCAGGTAGAGTTTTGCTATAAAAGGGCATAGGAGAGTTTTGAAGGGTGATAGAATTATTTTATATCTTGTTTATGATGGTTACATGACTATATGTGTTTATTATTTTTATATCTTGTTTATGATGGTTACATGACTATATGTGTTTGCCATATAACTAATAGATTGGTACATGAGAAAGGATCTATTTTCCTATATGTAGATTACCCTTGATATGCCTCAGAAAGAAAAGAAAATCCCACTTAAAGAGAGAAACCAATGTGGGTTTGTCTTTGAAATGAAATTCTGGTGGTGTTTTTGCCTGTGGTTGTGATTTTTTTTCCAGAAATCCGGGTTTCTCTCTGAACTTTTGGAGTTTAGTTATTTAAAAAATGATAATTTTATCTGCTTTTGATAAACCATGGAAGAGGGCTACCTGGATATATTCTATGCCATTACCTGAGTGATTCAGGATCTTTTAAATGTAATCTCTATACTTTTCCCCATGCAAGTTCAAATAATGTTTCTATCACCTGTGACAGACAGTCCTGAGTAATGCATGGAAATAGACACTTGCACAAGTAACTGTATACACGGTTGTGTGAGAAGTGCTATAAGAGCAGTAAAAATGATATGGAAGCAGACAGCTGAATGTGATTAAGTCTGACTGGGATCTAGGCAGTAATTGAGTTGGCCTCAGAGACTTTCTGCACTAGAGTCTGGGGAAGCATATCCCAGCTTGAGAAAACACATTTGAGAGCACATTGCAGAGGACAGGAATAAATGGATGCGTGGATGACAGTATGTGATGTCTTCAGGGATAAGAGGTGCAGTGGACCTAAAAAGTGAAGAGACCATCAAACCAGGTAAGTGGTGGAAGATGAACTTAGAAAGGCAGACTTTTACCAGACAGTAGAGAGATCCTTTCTGTGCTCAACATTTTAACTTCATTTTATAAAGAGTTTTATAAATAGCAGGGGAGTGGCATACTCAGATAAGAATTTCTGAAAGACATTTTCAATGTAATCCAAGG